GAAACCTTATCTCTACTAAAAATACAAAAATTAGCCAGGCACGGTGTTGCATGCTTGTGGTCCCAAGTGCTTGGGAGGCTGAGGCAGGAGAATCATTTGAGCCCAGGAAGGGGAGACTGCAGTGAGCAAAAATCACATCATTGCACTCCAACTTGGGTGACAGAGAGAGACTCTCTCAAAACAAAACAAAACAAAACAAAATTGAACAGAAGTTATTTGAGGTCATAGGATCAGGAGTGAGATTAGCCAGGATTTCCTGAAGACTAAATTTTCCTTTCTCACAGTAATTTACTTACTTGATCTCTTTCTCTGTCAGACTTTCTATCTCTAAGATAGGAAATTGGACTACCATAATCCTTGGGCCCCCTCCAGATATTATTCTGTGATATGGAAAACAGTATTGTAACAAAAGCACCAAATTTTTTTTTTTCCAAGAAAAACGTACAAGTTACTCATTCATTTTTATTAAACTAGATCACAAAATTCTCACACTGCTTTTATGCTTATACTCTATAATAGAGTCTGAGTTATTTCAACACTTTTTAAATAAAATTAGAGCTCTATAAAATACTTATGCCTGATTCAGTAGAAGTTTTAAAAATTCAAGTTAGCAGATGATTTATAATGAACTAGTAATTTTAGAAACTATAAAATTATAACACCTTAGTGATGAATTTTAAGCCCATTTGTCCAATTTCTGTTTTGCACAGGAGGCAGCCAGGGTGTAGAGAGATTAAATGACTTGCTTAAGGTCACATGCCAACTTGAATTTTATTGTGCCACAGTCCCTAGACCACATAGATGAGATTCAGTGTTCACTAATCTGAACATAAATTTCTCTGTATTTCTGGTGATTGCTAAAATCTATTTTCCATCCTTTATACTGCTGCTCTCCACATAAAAGAAAATTTAAAAATATAAAAATGATTCCATAATATGCATGCTAAGGGAGAACACCAATAGCAAAGCAAATGTGACAAGAATTCCACTTTTGTCTGCTTCCCCATGCTGTGTCTGCACCCTTCCATCAACAAAGTGCAGCTACTTTCACTTGCTATGATGCTCCTCACACGTGGGGCATCCCTTCAGGCTGGTTTTCCTGATGCTGTGTTTCAGGAGAAATGACAGTGGGTCAGGGGCAGTGCTTCTCAAGGACAGGGACTGAGGCTCCAAGTCTCAAATCCCATTATAAAGAAAGCTGTTGAGAGAAGCATTCACTGCACAGTTTTGCATCAAACTATATGACAGTATCATGAGACAATATCATGATATAACAATGTCATGAGATCCTTCTCCTATATACTTTTTAAGAAGTGACATCATAATGACAAAAATATATGTGGGGTGTTTTGGGGGTGCCATAGACATCTTAAAGAATCTGAGGAAAGGCCCTGGCCTCCAAAGCAATGGCGCATTCCAAAAATTTGCAGACAAAACCATGGGTTCGAACTGCGGTCCACTAAACCAAGATCCCCAGATTTATTGTGATCCCATTGTATCAGCAGTCCAAGCAGCTTGTATGGTGAGCCACGTGCCCTGTGCACTCATACTTCCTGCCACCTTAGCTAGCTGCCATGGACCCCTTCCCTTACACCACTCTGTGCTGCTTGATTGTTCTGACAGAGGCTGACTGGTCAGCACCACACACACACCACCACAAGAGCACAGCCCTGAGAAAGAAGACCCTTTTGAAATGAAGCCATCTGAAACTCTCTAAGTGTCTGTGTGTGGAGAGTTTACTTTATTGTAGTTTTGATTAAGATAAAGTACAAAAAGCACCAGAGGTTGTAACTCAAAAAGTCACACTAGTCTCATCCTATGACTAGTAAGCAGAATGGGGAAAAGGAAAGGAAAGAAGGAAAAGAGGAAGGAAGAAATGGAGGCACTTAATTTCAAGTATTCTAATGTGGCAAAATCACAACATTTCATAACTTTATCTTCTTCTCTGTGATGCTATTGTGAATCATAATAAACTTCCATCTATTACAATCTCCTATTAAACACCAACCACCATATTCAGCTTTCTACCAGGCAAAAAATCTCAAAGGGAATGTGAGACAATTTAATGGTTTCGTTTTTTAAAAACTATCACTATTAGTGGAGAGCAGTTTGGAGATACCTCAATTAAACGTAGGACAACCATTCAACCCAGCAATACCATTACTGGGTATACACCCAAAGGAAATGAAATTCTCCAACCAAAAAGATATGTTCACTCGAATGTTCATGGCAGCAGTATTCACAATAGCAAAGACAGGAAATCAACCCAGATGCCCATCAGCGGTGGGCCGCATAAAGAAAATGTGGTACATATACACCATGGAATACTATGCAGCCATGTAAAAGAACAAAACCATATCCTTTGCAGTAACATGGATGTAGCTGGAGGCCATTATCCTAAGTGAATTAATACAGAAACAGAGTACCAAATATCACATATTTTTCACTCATAAGTGGGAGCTAAACAGTGAATGCACTTGGACATAAGGATGGGAACAATAGACAAGGGGAACTACTTGTTGAGGGGAAGAGTTGAAAAACTACCTGTTGAGTACTATGCTCACTGCCTGAGTGATGGATCAATTGCAACCCAAACCTTAGCATCACACAGTATTCCCATGTTACAAACCTGCACATGTACCCCATGAATCGAAAATAAAAGTTGAAATTTCAAAAATAGATAAATAAATTAAAGTAAAAAAAAACTTACCCCTTTTACAAGATAGCCCAGAATACAGACTAGCCTGAAAGTCAATTCTTTGCAATAAACCCTTTCTTTCAGAACAAATAAGCAAATCGTTATTGTTCTTAATCTTACACATTATGTATATTTCAATATAACATGCTTTAGTTGTTGTTGGGCTCCTTTTAAAAAGACTGCTGTAAATGTTACTGTGTCAGCTGAAATTCTTAAGCCCACCCTTTGAAACCAAAACTTCAGTGTATTAAGTGGAAAGGGCATCAAAATTTTTTCAAGGGTCAAGTGCTGGGCTTTTAGTCCAGTAACTTCTGTAGAATGATATCGAGGGGTTAAACACTTTAAATGATGGCAGTCACGAAATCTACCTTTCTTATTAGCTTAATTCTCTCTCTCTCTCTCTATATATATATATAGAGAGAGAGATGTATGGGAGATGTATATGTGTATCAGTATGCATATATAAATTTAATTTTTCCCCATGTTAAGATTCTGCATAACGAGATCAGCATATGGAGCTGCAAGCAAGCTATTATCATAGTGCCCATGTATATGTACAATAATGATCAGCTTTTAAGGAATAGAAATAGAAAGGATAACCTACAATATCCTTGTCCAATTCCACTTTTGACCTGATGTCCTTAAAAAAACTGAAAAATTCAAGGACACTGATGGAAAGGAACAAGGGAAGAATTTAATGATTTTACTAAGAAATAACTAGGAATTGCCAAATTAATTATACCTATAAACTCAATTTAGTTGGTGACTAGAGTGTTTATTTTGCCTTATCACAAAGACTAGATATTGTAGATTAATAAAAATCACTGCTTTGCAAAAAATTTTTATATCAGAAACTAAAATTTACCAGGTAAACTTTTACTGATAAATATCCCATCTGCATGTATAAATAATCCTGCTGCTCCTATGTATTTTGTGATTGAGAGAAGTTATAGTGGCAGTTTAAAGACGTTACCAGCTGGAGACTTTGCAGATTGGAAATGAGGATGGAAAGGGATTCTTCCAGCTAAAACCAGTAATCCCACAACAAGAAAGGGTTGTTTTGATTTAAATATGCATATATTAATGTCCCCCAACCTGTGCTTGCTATCAATATAATCATTATGATATTGAGCTCCTTGAAGCCTAGGATATGACTTTTGTTTGTATCTTCACTTGAATTCAAGAATGTTTTTTCTTTTTCTCTCAGAACCTGTTTTCTTATACCAAAATCAGATCTATGAATGGGACATCTTTACCTGTTTGCATTGCCATTTTTTTTTAATTTCTCAAAAGATATGCTAAGAAGAAGAAGGAGGTGTATATGTTAAACAGCTAGTTGAAATTGGCTGATTTCAATTCCAAGTTTCATAATTATATACTACATTATAAGATACTAACAATTTTGTATGGATGAACTAGTTAACAAACCGTATAAACAAAAAGCCAGCAATTAAATTGTGCTGTACAAAGTGCTACTTTTTTAATATAAATATTTTCAAAAGGGACCTGGAGATGAAGTTAGAATGCATTTTTATGTGATCTGAGAATCATCACTTAATGAAAAAAAAAATTATGTAAATTACTTCAGTTAAAACAACAAGGAACATTTACAAGTCATACAGGAAACATAGCATTTTTAAAGTTTATTGTTTTTTTCTGTTTATGAAAGTGCCATATGCCCATTTTAAGAAGTTTAGAAAATTCAGAAAAATACAAAGACAAAAATAATCCTACTACCCCCAACTAGTATTAAGAAATTTTGATGCACAATGAGCATACAGAATTTCAGATTTCATGTGTGTAGTTTTGACTGTGCTTGAACAATCCTAATATCCTTGGCATATAATCTGCTGTAATTTTGCTGGGGCTTGAATTCTAATCAGGGTGTTCCGAGTCTAGTTCTGTCTAGTCTAAAATGAGTGACATTGTTGCCAGTAATTATAATGGCCCAGTATCTTCACTTTATTGTAGTTCTATGCTGTGCTTGTATATAAGCAACAACTAACAAATGTGTACTCTACTGTATATGGTAGAAATTATATGTTACAGAAATATTCACATATTTGGGGATTCAAGGTTTGCTTGTGAATGTTAATTTCTATATCTCCTTCCTCATTTTTTGTCTGGTAGTCTTTTAATAGCAAAATATCTTTTTAAAAAAATCCTAAGGGATAGAATTGTACTAAAAACTGTCAGCTTCTATAGATATTTTTACAATAGAAAAACCTTTCCTTCCTGCCTCTACATGGGCAGGTCGATTTTCACTGAAAACGGCTTCAAGCTGGTTCTAATATTTACTCACTTATGCAGGTGCATTCGTCAGCATGCAGTCTCCATCCCGTATCACATTCCCAGTGGAAGGTGCCCAGAGTGTTAATACACCGCTGCTGGCAGCCTCCATTCACCACCGCACATTCATCGACATCTAGAGGAGGAAGACAGATGGTCAGGATTACAATGTCATTCCAATGTCAGCTTCGAAGAAGTGGCACAATATTTCTTTGATACACAGTATGTGTTATATTGTACCAAGGCACCAGCTCTGTTGCCACAAATCTTTGCTTATTTGATCCATTTTGTTTCATCGTGTAAACAAGAAAATGTACCTAGAAACTTTATTGAGCTTTTTAAAGCCCATCAATGATGAGCATAGGGATTGCTCATAATTTTCTATTCTTCAAATATTGGTTAATTAGACAGATCTGAGATATAGGTATTTCCTTGGGGAAGGAAAACTGGAGGGGAGAATTACAATAAGCTACTCTATCAGGAGCAACACACGCTAGTAGATAAACACCTATTATTGGTCTGGCACTGCTGAATAAAGCCAGTAATAGAGTCAAGACCTTGAATCTCCTTCTCATGTGCTATGATGAACATCAGGGCAGAGACAGATAAATTAAAATGAAACCATGGTTTGATGTTCTTAAAAATATACATTTGTGTCACTGATTCAGCTTCTTCCTTCTCACTCAAGATGCCATTTTCAGAAACACCATGTTTATATGAGTGGTTACTTTAATTTTAGAAAAAATAGAAAGAGGTCAAGATTCATGATCACCTATGTCTTAAGATCAGCCAAGGTCATGATAAGTGAATTATGATGTTCATCTTCTGTTTCGAAAAGAAAAATCAATTTCTCTCTCAGAAGCTACACTTCCTTGTACCCTGTGTAATCAGTACTTGTGTATCTAAAATCACAAAAAGAAGACAGCCATAAACCTAGGGAGGTATTTTCAGGTAGCTGGTGGATAAAGAAATTCTAAATGCTCTTGTTTGGGGATTTATTTTTAAATAAAAACCTATGACTTTTGATAAGTTTCAAAGAAATAATCATCTTTCAGAAAGGTGGAGATTTAGCATAGCAACGCATGTGTCTAATGGATAGAATGCCTGCTAATAGATAGTTTTCCCTGCTCCCAATCTCAGATATTCCAGCAAGAATATTAGGAATGAACATTCTTCACTAAAATATAGTCAATCTACTAGACAATCAGCATTACAACAAGCAGCATAAATTCCATAGGGCAAGATCCTTATTCAAGAAGACATCAAAATGGAGAAGTATTACTATTGCAATGACTCATAGCACCTTTTCAGGCTAAAATCCTATGATCTGTAATGAGTGCTTTGTACTGTTATAAAGACTAGAGGATATGACCTAAGGGAAACAAAAGAGTTTTCTTTTACTTGGCATTGAATTTTTTTAATAAAGGAGACAAAATATATACAAAGAAGATATAAGTCATCAAATAAATCCGATACTTAAAAACTACTAGTTCTCACTATTTTACACAATTTAGTATTTTCGTTTAAAAAGTAGATATTCTGGTATAATTGCTGATATTTTCAAAGGAATCTTATTTTAAAGATAAGAATTATTGACTTTTCAAAGTGCTAGGATTTTTATTACGTTTTGAGTCTGTGATAACCAACCTCTAGGTCTTTTTCATATAAACTAATGTTAAACCAGAATTCTCTATGTGTTACTTGTATTTTTATGCAGGGTTCAATATTTATGCTGGCTAAATTTTTATCTTTCTGACTTTAGGGTATTATTCTGTGGAGTTAAGGTACAATTTTGAATCTTAATTCTGTTAAACCCGAATTAGATATCCTTCCCAGGTTTTAAAATTTTAGACATAAGTACAACTCTTTTTTTTTTATTATTATTATACTTTAAGTTCTGGGGTACATATGCATAACGTGCAGGTTTGTTACATATGTATACTTGTGCCATGTTGCTGTGCTGCACCCATCAACTCGTCAGCACCCATCAACTCGTCATTTACATCAGGTATAACTCCCAATGCAATCCTTCCCCCCACCCCCATGATAGGCCCCGGTGTGTGACGTTCCCCTTCCCGAGTCCAAGTGATCTCATTGTTCAGTTCCCACCTATGAGTGAGAACATGCGGTGTTTGGTTTTCTGTTCTTGCGATAGTTTGCTGAGAATGATGGTTTCCAGCTGCATCCATGTTCCTACAAAGGACACAAACTCATCCTTTTTTATGGCTGCATAGTATTCCATGGTGTATATGTGCCACATTTTCTTAGAAGTACCATATGACCCAGCCATCCCATTACTGGGTATATACCCAAAGGATTTTAAATCATGCTGCTATAAAGACACATGCACACGTATGTTTATTGCAGCACTATTCACAATAGCAAAGACTTGGAATCAACCCAAATGTCCATCAGTGACAGACATAAGTACAACTCTTAATTTTCGAGCATACTAAGCTTTAGATCACAAATGATTTTGCCATTCTCAAGAGTTATTGCAATGTGCCATATATATTTAAATACATTGAAAATGTCTTAAAGGATGCTACTTCTGAGGGGGGAGAAAATGTATTCAAATGGGTTTAGTGCAGGGTATGCATGGGGCTATGTTGGACAAAACGATTTAGTCATATCTATGATGTTCTAATGTTTTACAAGAAAAAGTTATCCAGTTGTTACTTACGTAATGAAAACAAATTTTAAAGAAAACAATATAGTATGACTACCTCCCTTGACCCACCCACCAAACTTCAATAGTTTTCTGACAAAAGAAACAAAGTTAGTGAAAATAAGAAAAATCACTGAGTCCATTCCAAAGATAAGAGTGGGCATAGATTTTGAGAATGAGTGTTCTTTTTAATATGTTTTAATATGTTCATATTCTTTTTTTTTTTTTGTTTGAGTCTCGCTGTGTCGCCCAGGCTGAAGTGCAGTGGTGTGATCTTGGCTCACTGCAACCTCCACCCATGGAGTTCAAGTGATTCTTCTGTCTCAGCCTCCTGAGTAGGTGGGATTACAGGTGCCCGCCACCACACCTGGATAATTTTTGTATTTTCAGTAGAGATGGGGTTTCACCATGTTGGCCAGGCGGGTCTCCAGCTCCTGGCCTCAGGTTATCCACCCGGCTTGGCCTCCCAAAGTGCTGGAATTACATGTGTGAGCCACTGCACCCAGCCTAACATGTTTATATTCTTAATCTGTCCTAGAATTTTAATTAAAGTACTATATCATAGTTGAAATAAGCATGCATAACACACACACACACACACACGCACACACACACACACACGGAAACCAAACTTTCTCTGTATTTTGAGTCAAATAGTCTTGGGAAAAAACAGTGTTGAAACTTATTAGCCAGTTACCTTGCCTCTCTGAGACTCAGTTTCCTCATCTATAAAATGAGATGATAGTGATGGCCACATGTACTGTGCTGTGATGTTTTTCCTATTCGTATCTCAGATTTTGATATATGGTAATGCTTGAGATTATATGTAGAAATTAAACAATGTTTTTACTCCACTAACTAGTAGAGCTAACAATATAAGACCATGAAGTGAGAGTGCATGGCAGGAGCAGTGAACAATATAGAAATTCAGAGGCAGGAAGTCCGTTAGGTTTAGGGGAAAAATGAGAATTGAGTGCGTGGTGAGGAGAGTGGACAATCCAAAAGTACAGTGGTTTGTCTGAAATTTAGCATTTAGATCTGTCAGGCTAGAGAATAAGGTCAGCAAAGGGAAGTAAAATTGAAAAACAAACCTAAGTCTCCTTTTATTTAATTTGGATGGTAAAGCATTCCTCTTCTTGATCTAAAATACAATACATTTCTGGGCAGGTTGAGACATAATAGGCTGTGTTCACACCATAGCAAAGCGAACTTATTAAAAGTTAAAAAAAAATCAATCACTTATAGAGTGGGACCAAATACTAAGCAATTGGTTTGACTTCTTTTTTCTTTTTGCCCTTTCAGAATACACTGAATTTACTGATTGGGCATGTGTAATCAATAGTCCTCAAACTTGGCAGCACATTAGAACCACTTGGTAAGCATCAAAAAATACCAGTGCCAGGGTCCCACCCTTACAGGGTCTGAATTAATTGGACATGGCTAAGGCCTGGGTATGAAAACATTTTTAAAGCACCCTAAGTGATTCTATTGTGTAGCCAGAGTTAAGATTGCCTGGTGCAGTAAGTGTTTTAATTACCTAGGGATTTTGTTAAAATGCAGATGCTGATTTAGTAGATCGGCAACTGAGGTCTGAGATTCTGCTTTTCTAACTAGATACAAGGTAATTCTGATGTACTGGCCTGTGGACCATAAATTTCAACTGGTAAGAGTGTAGAAAGTAGTCTGTTTAACTATCAATGTCACATGAATCACAAATATCATAATTTGGCTCAATTTCTCAGTTGTTTAATTAAATTAGGCCAATTCAGTTCAAATTCCTAAATCTATACTCAGACCAACATATTTAAATACATATATGAATTAGAGTAAGCAAAACTATGTAATTTCAAGACAATTTTAACATTATCTATTATGAGAAATGATCTACCTCTGTTAACCTGAAGGAAATGTTACTTCTTTTCTGATTGAATACTTCTGATATAGGATGAAACTGGGTTAAATTGCTATGATATTAGACCCTTATGCTGGAACTGTCACAGGTGATTTTCTTGGCTATCAAGATTCTGCCCAACAAAGTTAAAAACCAGAAATTTCAATATTACATTAAAATGTTATTAACAAGTATCCTTCACGTGAAGAAATAATTTTTCAACAATTCTCTGAGTTATATCTTCATGCTAGATGCTTACAGAAAGTCTTGCTCTTAGAATTGGAGTTCCAGGACACTGCTGGGAATAAGGATAAAGTGATTAGAATTTTCTCAACATTACCGCTGTGATGTGGATCCAAGATTTCATGATTCTATGCTATAAAAGACTGTCAAAAAGAATAAACTGTGTCTGCTATTTTTCCTTTTAATGTCCTTTCTCTAAATATTTTTGCTCTATGTATCCCTCAAAACTATTTCCTGAGATGGTCACATAATATAATATCTTAAAAGAACGCACATTATTAGCAAATGTATTTTGCACTTAAGAGCTCCCTGAGATTGTTTTGTTTCCGAACAA